GAGCCATGCTGAAGCTGACCTCTGTCCCCTACTGGCAGAGGTCAGCTGGCAAGTGTTCAGGGCTATATCGACACTCCTCTTAGCTATTGCCTCTATTACCAGAGTAAGACTTCTTTCTGAGGGGGGAATATGACCTCCAAGAACTTCTAACAGTTTTTGAGAAATTGAAGGTGTTTTATCAGTCCTTGTGGAAACACGGTCTTCATTTTAGACAAGCTACAGCATAGGAGTGGCTTTTCCTTTGATGAACGGAAAACTTTGATCTCACCTGCTCATCCTCCTGACCCCTCATCATGTTTTAGCTCTGGGTTTGGGTGGTAGGATGCTTTCAGTTCTACTCTGAAGACAAACCATGCCAGTTTTCAAAGCTGTATCCTTCTTCCATCAGTAAAAAGACACTTGATTTTTGAAAACCTGATACACATCCTCACCCTCCAGTAAATCAACTGCACCACTCAGCTTGGTGTCACCTGCAAATATGTTAAGAGTATGCTCAATCCCACTATGTCATTGATGATGATACTGAATAGTATTGGTCCTAGGAGAGACCCCTCAACCACACCACTTACTGCTGTTCTCTGTTTCGACATCAAGCTGTCTGTTGGCTGCAACATTTTGGGTGCAGCTATCCAGCTAATTCCTTAACCATCAGATAGCTCGCCCATCAAACTTCCTCCATTTTAATATCACATGCCTTAGAAAAATACTTGTCCACTTCATCTGTGTCCTCTGGCTTAAGTAGCCTGGTTAGGAGTTAAGATTGAGAATTTATTTCCTCATATAATAGCAGAGTCTATTATATGGAGTCTACATATATTATATGTCTGCAGTTCTTTCATGGCCAAATGTCTGCCTTTGGTAACAGGCCTGAATAGGGCTGAAATTAAGAGAAAAGCTGCCAGCTGCATTTACTCACTGAATGTCTGGACAAAGAAATTAGTTTTAAAACATATTATTTCTAAATAACATCAGAGTTTACATATTTATTATCATTGACATAATTTGGCCTCGTTGCATGAATGTGTGACGTAAGGGGAATGGCTGCTTACAGTATCAGCCCACTCTGTGCAATCGAACTGAAGTTTTAGAGTGGGAACTGGGGTTTCTAAAAGCTCAGGACTTCTCAGACAGCTGCAGTGATGTATGTCATGTATCCTCAACTGTGTATTCATACCAGAAAGAGGGTTTAACATTCAGGTTGATATGGAGAAGGCCCAAGAAACTCCCTCCTTCTCTTGCACCATTATATATATTCATATTGTACACTGATCATTACTCACAAAAAAAGATTAAGTAACACACTTGTTTGAGATGAGGTAACTGCGCAGATGCTCTGTAAAGCTCTTCACAGGAACTTCATCTTGAGCCTCCTCTGTTACAGCCAAGATAGTCCCAATTACTGTCAGCCATGTATTTTTGGCAGCTCTGGGAGAGAGCACTTCAGTGTCCAACTCTGTGCCCCCAATAATACATGAGGACAGTTTCCTACTACTGATTTGCTTTCACACCTGTCTAGATGAAGTTGTCTGGCTCTCAGGTGAACCATAAAATGATCCAGAAAGTAAACAAAATATTGCATACTTCTCTTGTGGCATCTGACTAGCAGATGCAAACTCCCCACCTCATACGTGCAGTGTGCACCTGTGATTCTCTTTTGACTCTCCCTTCATTTTATCAGAACTTTGCTTTATCACAACTTAAAAAAGGTAAACATAAACCCTGGCTTTAAACTTCCTGGCACTTGACAGCTTTGACACCAAGTGACAGAAAGTGTCAGCTAATTAAAAAATTAATTTCTTTTTCAAGTGCCGTTCTTTGTTATGAAGATGTCTACTCAAAGTGCAGCCTACACATTACCCTCTAGAGAAGGAACCCAAACTGCAAAAATCATAGTGCTGTACTTAATTATGAATCAGAGAATTTTACAAAGAACAGTAAATTGCATAGTGAAAGCCTGTTTTCTGTGATGGAGAATACATTAAAACAATCCTCTTCAGCCCCTAGCAACCCATGCTTGCTACAGTTGCTAACTTTAGACACAAACTTCATAAACTGTAGGTTTTCTGCTTTGGCATGCATCTATATTAATTGTTTTCCCCCCACATCAAATGCCTACTATGACTTGATGCAAATCACACAGAGGTCCAAAAGCTTTAACTGGAGCAGAGCAAAACTGCAAGCTCAGACATTTCTGAAGCCAGTAACCAACAGCAAGATGCATGCATATTGCAGGAACAGTTATACAACTTCCAGAAATTTCTTCTCCTTTAAACTCAGATTTTAATTTCCTCGACTATTCTTTTCTGCATTGTCATAGAGAACAGCTTCAAAATATATCACCACCAGGGAGGAGTCAACAAAGTCTGAATGTGTGAGGACATTGGTCTAGATGGGAGTCACTGCAGGTCCAAGAGAAGCAGAGCTGATGAAAGACAGGTATGTATGACTACTTAATGCAGCAGTGAGAAACTTAACATTGAGCTTCAGGTAGGAGGTATGTGAGGGAAACCTGAAGTGCTGACATGAAACCAGCAGCTGAAGCTTTGACCTTGTTGTCAAGGAGTTGCATCTATGAAAAGGTGAATTAGTCAAAGAATGTGGATGAGGAAAAGCAGCCTATCAAAAGAACAAATAGGGAGAAGAAGCAGGCGAGGATGACATGGCAGTTTCTAGTTAAGGTTTAATTGCTAGTATCAATGGTGACCAGGAAATGAAGAGTTTGGTCATGTAGAGACTGCAGGCCAAAGTGGACAAAAGGAGAGAGGGACCCTTTACATTCAGAGGTGTAGGGCCACCTCCATGGCATGCCACAGCAATGTCTAAAGTTGGGAAGAGATGGGGAATGGGGTGGCTCTTGGAACTGTCTGAATGCAACTGTGGTTTTGAGCTGTGGTCTCCGTAAGTGCGTCAGGGGAAAGTATGTATCTACATTGTGAAGAGAAAACAGGAACAGGCTGCTTCCAGCATTATAATTCTTCCTATAATTCTATCATTCTTCCCCAACTATTTTCCAATCCTGTCTTCTCAAAACTGTACTCTGCCTCAGCAAATGGTGACTGAACTTTCTTCTAAGTAAGAAAGATACTTCTAGAAACATAGTGGAGAAAGACTTGTCTTTTACTCAAGTCCCAGTCCTTAAAAAAGAAAATCCTGCAAAAATTTTAGATATATTTGGGAGTTACCCAGTTTTTCAGTAAATATTTTATTTAAGCAATCCTTCCCCATTTCTTCTTCCCTTTTCCCAACAGGAACACTCAGCCTGAATAATACAAATGCAGTTTAGAAAAGGACTTGCTTTACTTTCCAGGCTCATGTCTTCTGATCAAGTCATTATCTCATGACTGTAAACAACACACTCCTCCTGATACAAGTACATTTGCTTGTTGAGCTTGTTACATGTCCCAGGGCTAAAAATCCTATGGGGTAGGAAAATAGTTTTCTTTTTTTTTTTACCATATTTGTTCAAGAGGCAGCAAAACCCCCTCCTTTTATGAATGTAACTCAAGGATATATATGCACAGCAGTCTGGTTCTGAGGTCTAAATTTTTGCAAGTCAGAGAAATGGTCAGTGCACCACACTGCAAAGCAGCAAGGTCAGTCCTATAATGTGGCAAAAACACTGGAAAAGAGATTTTTTTGTGTTGAGTACCCAGCTCAGCAAAAAGGCAATACCTTTTGCTGTTAGCATTCATTGAGGAGGTAATAGAGGCTTGGAGCAGACTCTGGGAGTTGAGGTGCAGATGCAAGTGGGTCAGTGTCAGCTGAAGAGTTTCTGCCACAAAGGACTCAATCTCTGTGTAAACCACAAGTCAATTAAACCACAGGCTGGGAACCCTGCCTGCTGAACAGAGAGCTGCAGAGCTTTTTATTATGTTTTGTAGCATGTGTAATCTAAGAATGATGAAAGAAATAAGTTTTCCTTTACCTCCTTTGCTTCATGCTCCTGGATTATCTTCACGTTAAATACCTTAGCATCTTGCAGTGCATTTGCTGGCAGCTCTTCCTCTTGTTGCTGAAGTCTCTGCTCTAAGGGACCAAATTAGCTGATAGACTGTATGTAGACTGCTTAATTACTTTCTTGTTATTCCACTGTTTGTTTAATTGCAACAGAAAAAAAAAAAAAAAAAACTTCAGGTTTTTTTACACTTGTATTTAAAATACTATGTTATAATACTGCAGCTCTTCCAGTTAAAAACTCATTGCTATTATGAAAAATACTTAGGTATTCCTACAAGGAGGAACAACTGTAAAAACAGGGTAAGCAAGCTCTGTACTGTGAGTTATCAGCAGGAATGTAACAATCAGCCTCTCAGATTAATCAGCTTTAGTGAATTCTGAGTGCTCTGACATCCAATCTAAATATGGACCCCAACTAAATAATAATTTTCTATGAACTTACATAAAGTTAAATTTTATTTACTGGGAACAGAGACAATGTCATGATTGTGAATGCCTTATTCTTTTTTGATTGTTTATGAACAGACAAGTTGCTTTCAGAATAAACCTGCCAAATCCAACAGGTTAAAAATGGACTTCAGAATCAGTTTGGAAAAGGAAGATATGTTGGAATATTCATGGCATAAGAGAGGATTGGCTCTTAACAGAGGCCACCTACACAAAGCAGCATGGACAAACTGCAAATAGTGAAAATGGGTTCACTCACAAACTATTTAAATTTTTATTTTAAATTGTCTTGTTGTGGCAGGAGAATCATATTTAATCAATCAGCATTCTTAGCCTTGCCTCTGTGTGTTATATTATCAGTGAGATCAGTTTTGAGTGACTGAAGCATTTAAAAGGAGTTCCCTGTTTTTCAACAAACAGATGCTTATTGTCTCTCCTCCCCCTGCCCCCAGCCCATCCCTGCGTGTTATAGAACTTAAAATACTATAATCCTGCACAAAGAAATTCACTTGCCCATCAAAGCACTCATGGAAAAACGACAACATAGAATTTCAAAGACAGAGGCTTCGGAATATCTAATTGAGCGATGCTTAGAAGTGTGTTTAATTTTGGAAACATGCATAACCAGCTGAGATATTACCACCAAAGTAGACATTTGAAATGGTGTACAATAAAAAAGACAAGAAATCACACGCAGGCTGGTGGGCAACGTTAAGAAGGTACAAGGATTGCAGTGTATTAAAGAAATGTGCGAAACTGACAACAGGCAACAAACATTCACATCTTGTTGAGTCACAAATTTGTTTTTTTTTTAAAACAGAATAGGCTGACCAGTGCTTCTGATTTCATCAGTAGTATGTTGCTCTTCAGGTAGGATATAGTCAAAAGGTTACACAAGCTGCAAAATTAAACTCTTTCAAAGTCATGATGTAACAAGAGCTTGTTTAAGTCCAAGGCTTTCTGTAGACGATTCATTTGATTGGCATTCTTTTAAATGTACAAACAGAAAGATCAAAGTAACTGTCACATAAGAACTTGGCTATCATCTTATCTGCAAAACAAAGAAATCCAGGATGATCCTTCATGAGCAATGCAACTAACACATATTTCTTTGGACAAATACATATTCACATGTTCTTGCGAAGTATTTCTAAATAGACTTTTCAAAAAGTATTTTTAGAATAGTGCAATATAACTTTATCTGCATTTGCAACCAGTGAGAGGTAATCCAGAGAGGACCACAGCCCCCCTGGAGAATGCAGTCCTGTCACTCTCCCCTGGGCAAAAATCCCCTTTAATGTCACTGGGAGCTAATAATGAGGAGCTGTGCACAGGTAGTCCCTCAGGAATGAGTCTCCGCTCACTATTTGGGGAGCTGAGTTTGGAAGTCTGCATGCAGCTACCAGAATATATCCCCAAGTACTCGTTATGCAGTGGCCACTAAGACATTTGAAATGTAAATGTTTCTCATCTATGTTCCATGTAATTCATAAGATAATGCAGTTTCCATGCAGTAGGGAAATATTGTATCAGAAGAACTGACAGTATTAACTAAGGAAAAAACCCTGGTATATCAGTTTTACCACAACTGCATTTTTTTCCTCTGCACAGTATTTCACATTGGTAACAGGCAATGTTATACCATAAAGCATATTAATATGATCTTGTAATTTGAATGAAAAAGCTTTTTTGCAAGATATCCATATTAAAATAGTTATATGCACAAAAAGTGTTCATAGCATGACACCCAAAGCAGTAATGGAGTTAGTTTTACCCATTAGAGCTAAGCTATGTAGTACAAATGAAGACTACTGGTACATGTAGAAAAATATGACAGGCAATCAGTTACAAACCTGGCAGTATTTTGAAACAGAGATTTTTAGGTCTTACAATGGAATGATAAAGACAGAAGGAACTGCTTTTGGGAGCTCCAGAAAGAGATTTTCACTTGGTGTTTCTCACTGTCTTATAAACAGCCCTACCACATAGAAAAATGTTGCACCAGGAGTTAACATCAGGGTCTGAAATTTAAAAAAAACTGCTAAAACTTAAGTGCAGTATGTTCCACTACATTGTATTTCTCTTGTAATATATAAAACATAGAAAGTTGTAATGGTGACTTACTGGATAAAAATATTAATGCTCACAAATAAAATATGAGAAATTTCTGAGTCAGATTTAGATGTTTTGTACGTTTAGTTCACATGATTTGACTATCTCATGTATCTTTGACCATCAAGTAGCAATATATAGTCTCCATTTTAGATTGACTCATTGTATCTGTTACATTGTTTCTAACAAGACTTTAAAATGACAAAAAACCTACTTGAAACAAATGTCTTTACAATGAGAAATAGATTTTACACCAGAAACCATTTTCCACCTTTTAATACTGTTACAAAATCTCTCCACTACATAAAAAGGCAAGATAAATAAAAATCTTAGAGAAAGGAAATGCTTCTTAGGCTTGCTCTTTTGTCTTCCCCTTGCAACTGCTGGTCTCCTTAACACATGAAGTTGGCTAGGTAGGATTGTTTTTCTTTCTCTTGCTTGGGCTGTGAGTAGGATCTTGTTTCAGTTCATGGTATTGCATCTGTTTAAACACAAAGTTCAGAAAGAAAATTGTCAGGTGGCACTTGTTACGAAAAAAGAAAGGTATAATTTTTTTCTGTCCGGGGATAAAAGGTTAAAAAAAGAAGACTTTCCCCATAAAAGCAATACAGGATTTGCAAATGTGATTCACCAACACCAGAATGACAGATCTAGACAGGAACACCAGGAAAATCCTACCAGGAAATAACACCGCATGCTGATGTAAACTTAGAAAAGACTGGGTTTTTTTGTTTTCTCCATGAGATCTAGCAGACTAAACATTATAATCTTGACCATGTTGGATACCATTCTTCATAATGTTTCTTAATAGCTTGGTGATTTCTAAATGCCTGCCACAGAGGGTATCAGATACAGAGTGAGTGTTTGCACCCATATCTCCTACTTAATACCAGCTCTGAACTGAAACTAGAAATTCGGGAAGTCTATAATCTTTGTGACACTGGATATTATTTATGTGCTTGATACTATCTTAAATCTTGCATTCTCTCTGGGGATTGTGTAGTGCAACATAAAAGCTTGTAATTCACAACCAGTTGTTTTTTTTTTTTTTTTTTTTTTTTTTTTAAAGGAATTTATGAGCCCAGTGGAACTGTGGACACAGCAAAAGCTTTCACCCCTTGGAAGGGAAAGGCCAAAGTGTTTTCAGAGTGCTGAGGAATGCTGTCTGCCTCTTCCATTTTTTGACCTTCCTGTTCCTTCTCTGCCTTCTGAGAGCCCTAGCTCCAGTGTTTCCTTACACAGTGCCTTATCCCAGTCAGATTCACATCTTGCTGGATGCTGTTTAATACAAGCTCTAGCTACCATCTCACAAATACTTGTCCTTCTACTGATTGTTTCTAAGGATCCTAAGAGGCACAACCAATGCAGGAACTTCTTTCCCATTGGATAAAGATCTAGCAGCCTCTTTCTGGTTAATGGATTATCCTCAGCTTGAGTTTGCAATTTCTTTCTGCCAAGGAACATAATAGTAAATCAAAACAACTGCTTTAAAAATTACCAAATCAAATCAAATCAAATAAATATACACACCACTTGCACATCAGAAGGGACTCTGGAGAGAAAGTCAAGTAGCTCATTGTTATCAATTGCATATGGATTTCGAATCTTCTTTGTAAATTTATTGATGCCTGCAAAAGTGAAAGTTCAAATGTTACTATCATAAGATATAAGATGTCAAGAGATACATACTTTTGGCAAGGTTTTAAGACAGATTTTAGGATCCACTCTGAATCCTGACAGTAGTACTGAATGAATTGTAAACTCGGGCTCCAAAGGTTGGACTTTGCTTCTGTGGTTCCCTGTTTCAAAATACGAAAGTTCTAGGGACATTCTCAAATTCCTTCAATATATTTTTTTGGAATGTAACAAAAACTGTGGTTTTTATGAGGAAGTTGGGAAAAACAGAGGCATAAAAAGTATTTAATTTCTGTAACAGAGATGATGAGAAGAAATGGGCTTAATTGGTGGACACAAGATTCACATAACATCCAGAAGATTCAAGGAAAGTATTTTTCATGCTAATAACAAGGAAGCATATGGGAAGCATGAAGTCTGCATCGTATGAGAACTTTAGAGGAGCTTACACAAACCTCTGTGTGGAAATGAAAGACAGAGACTAGCTGATGGCAGTGCAGAGAAGAGAGGATATGTCTCCCTTAGGCATCATGTTCTTATAATGCCATGGTCTTATAACTGAGAATTAGTATTCAGAAGCACCAAGAAAAATCGTCCACAAAATAATCAGGAAGCAGGCTTAAATTAGACATATTTTCTTAATTACATACCAAGTCAGATTCATACACTTTGAGATGTCAGATGAGGTCTGTGGGCTCTGGGAAAACATGTCTAAAACATGGACATGAATGGTGCAAACTGCATTGACTCTCATGTGAGCAGGAGAAAGCTAGGACACTATTAAAAATATGTCTTTCTGTGTAATTTATCCAGGCTCTATCAGATATAAAATAACATAGTTTATCTTCCACAAAGTCTTTGGTGCCCAGACTTTTCAGAAAGCTTTAGCAAGGACATGGATAGGGCATGCAAGATTCAGTGTCAACTACACCCAGAGCTTCCCACTGCATGAATCCTCAGTTCTGCAGAGTAGACAGGAGATGCTGCCCTCCCTTTATGTGGTGTCAGATAGTGAGTGTTCAGAAGGAACATCTGACCTTCAAACATCTTTGTTTAAGAAGATGTTTTGCATCAGCAAGTGGCTGCAAAATTTAAGGTTGAACATCACTGTTCAGTGCACATGGCCGCTGGACCACCCATGGCTGATTTCTGGTGGTATGAACTCACTTTATCACATCTGATAAAGAAAAATACCAGTCAGTGTGTGAAACCTCAAGAAAGGAAAAGCACTGCACAGATGAGAGGAGACACTACAGGAGAAGCAGAATACAACAAGGAGATTGGTCTTTTCCAACAGTTTGAAAATTTTCAGATTAAAATAATTACAGTTTTTTTCCACATAAACAGCTGTAGCTATTACCAAGACTCAGCACTTCATCAAGTGGGATTGGGATGGAGAGGTGGTTTCTGCTCCACCCCACCTAACACACCACATCTTCAAGGACCGGTAGTCTTCACTGGGAGAGAAACGGACAGGAAAGGATGGAGAATTTCTTTCTAGGGCAGACTGAAAGGGGCAGACCCTATGGATGCCATGAAGAAAGACAGCTATACAAAAGATGACACATAATATGAAGAAATTTTAATTTAAAATATCTGCCTTCCAAAGAACAAAATGGACAGATGCTGCTACAGACCAGCTCAAACATTCCTACGGAAGTAAGTCAAAAAAGAGAAATCAATGGCTCCCCACAGCCAGGATGGATGAATAGAATGAAGAAATATACACAGGAGAGGCTAGAAACATGCAGTGATGGAGAAGATAGGTAGGTGTTTGGAATACTGCAATTTTTGAAGGGACAGCTGTTGAAAGCTGTTCTCAGCATGACACGGCTCTGTGAGAATTCATTTAACCCTGAGGAGGTCTGGATTGTAGGACCTGCACCTCTGCAGTACCTGTCTGGTCTTCTGTCATGACACAAGAGAAAAAGATTCCTAAAGAAGGGATCCACATATACTTGCTGAGTAAGAAGTCACCTGAACTGAAATGCAGAGAAAAATGTGGAGTCAAAACGTCTAGTGAACCAAGGGGCTTGAAGTTATATCTCATAGCCTACGTAACTTGAAGACAGGGATGGAAGAGATGCAGAGAGTGCAAGGTGCATTTATAATAATTTATGCTTACGCTATCCATCCACGGTTTGGGAGGCTTGGGAGCTGAGACTCTGCCTTATCTGAAACGGAGATATTTCTGTGGGAGTGTGACACTTCCAGGGATATGAGTAATGAGCTTTTCAAAGAACAGTTCTGGCTCTACAGTTATGTGGACCTTGGAGGGGTATTATAATTCAGATTGTTGTATCACACCTGATGTAAAAAAGCAGGATGTCAGACCTGTCTGAAAAATTACAGACAAATACTTCGAACTTGCTGGTACAAAAGACAAAAGTCTTTTGTTTTTACTTATTCCCCCATATCATGCTGGTGTTCATGGTATGGGGGAATAAGTAAAAGTCAAAGACAGGAAGAGAAAGGAAGCCCATATGCTTGCTTTTGTTTTTTATGTAGAAATACTTTTGTTCATAATCTTCTTTATTGTTTTGGCTATGATCATTTGAGAAAATATTATAAGAAAATTACAAATTCTGACTGATTAACAAAAAATAAATTCTTTGGAGTCCATTCAATGATTTTATGCTGTCCCCTGAATTCAAAACTTTTTCACGAAAGGGTGCCTGCTATTCTTCAGAAAGAAAATCTGGCCACTGATGTAACAGAGACTGTGCTCTTTAAACATCTGTGCTACTGGGTAAGGGTACAGCAGCTGGTGGTGTAAGATGTATGAAAAGATATACAAATGAAAACCTGGAGCATTATTTACAACAGATGTGGTAACAGTAGCTTTTTAAAATCAGTATAAAGAATAGACATAAGCACATGTAGTGAAAGCTTTCTGTTCATTATCAACCAACCAAATACCTCATATTCCCATCTGTCTAACTAAAGGTGACCCCTTAAACAGGTTTCTTGCTGCTATGTTTGCATACACTTTCACAAGATAAAGTACTGCATTAAAAAAGGCGTATTGTCCTAAATGCAATATATAGATTGAAATGCCTCTGTTTTTGTATAAGTGGTGAAAATAAATCAGAGTAATATCTAGACAAAGCTACACTTTGATATATGAAGAATCCTCATGGCTACATGTTTATAGCATGATTAAATATAAAATGCCAGCCAAGAAAAATGCATTTTTCAGGTGGGCCTAAATATTTACACTGCTGCTGTTAACTAACATGCCTAATTCCATTATAGGGGAGCTTCATGACCATAAATACCAAAAAAAGTAGTGCCAGTATAAGTCATCCATTAAAAACAGGTTTTTAAAGCAGTACAGACAGTTTAAAAGGGCTTTACTTACCCCAGACAAGGACAATGTATCTCAGTGGAATGAAATATAGGATGATGGTGAACACAGAGAGGGCAAAAATTGCCAGCCAGCTCAGGAATGGGACAGTCCAGTTGAATGTACTAAAGAAAAATTAACAAGAGTCAGAACTGAGGTCGGCCAACAAAGCCAATAAAGAGTAAAGGACAGTGGAAGAAGTGTCAGTTTCCACCAGGGAGAACAAACTGAGTCTACTAATGAAGCATGGATGCATTTGTCATTCATCAGGGAGGGCCTGGACTTGGATCCAGTGTCAGTGGAAAGGAAAGGAGGTCCTAGCTTTGACCACTTGCCTGCTGAATTTCACCTCTCCCAGCAGTGCACATCTGCCAGGAGAACAACTGCTCTGCTTTTTGGAAATATCAGTGCCTAACCCCAGTTTCTGCATCAGGAAAAACCCACAGGGCTCCCTACTCTCCAAATGTACTCACACAGGCAATCTCCATTCCCTTCTCAACATCATGGTAGAGTAGGATACAATAGTTGGAAGACTACTGCTAAGACTTTCTTGTTTTACCTCCTCCCTATTATTCCACTGTAAGGATAGCACAAGGAGTTAAAGGCTGAACAGGGACATTCCCCTCTGTCTGAGGTACAGGTGCACTCCTCAGCAAAGTGCCTTTCAGCTTTGGGGGAAAATGAAAAGGCAAGTGCATGGCTATGCAAAGATGGAAACTTATCCTTGTGCATAAGGAGAGGGCTAGGAAAAAAAAAAGGTGGTAGAACAGTCTGTCATGAAGACAGGGATATGCAACAGCAGTGGTTGAGAAAAGAAATAAAAACCTTCTGGATGTCAAAAGAAAAAAAAATTTAAAAAACCCTGAAATAAGTAAAGGTTATTTATCTATGAATAAAGGAAGATAATTTCTGGGATCCCATGAGAGTTCCAGGACATTACTTTTCCAAAAAACGTCACAGATAAAAACATTCTCACTAAGAGTCCCAGACTCTATTCTGATAAAACTCTGCTGATCATCACATTCTGCAAAATTGAGGTATGAAGGAGATTTAATGGATCTTGAAAAGGGTGCTATGGCTCTCCAACTCCTGTATTCAGTGAAGAGAGAAAGACCAGATGATAATTTCATACATATGTCCCATAGGAACGCTGGTTGAGGGGAGCTTGGGTCAGCATATTTGTTCCATGAAGGCACTGCCTTCTCAAAAGTGTTGCATGACATTTATCCAGAAGGATAATGTGGCTTTAAATCTAAATAGTCTCATGATACACTTTAAAGTATTACTACTAGCTACGTTCTCAATCAATGTGATTACATGATTTTGGCTTCTCTGGATGAATAATTGCAATTACCTGAATTGCAAGCCATATTTTTCATAATGAGCTCTGGCTTCCTGTATTCATTTGTCTTCTTTTTTCCCTGGCAATTTTGACATGTCTCCACTAACATTATGTTAGTGTCACTTAGTGTAGGACGCCTCCCTTTATCCTCGGGGGACACCTGCTCTTTTCCCCTTTTCTGTAGGCATTTGGGATGAACAGAAGGTTGAGGGTCTGCTCATGTTCCTGTGACTTGGCTTTGTGCAATGGATCACAGACACACCATGATGTGTGGGAGCCCTGGCTCCTCACTTAGCAAAGCTCCTTATGGGCTGTGTTACTACAGCAATCAGTACAGGTTTCCCATTATAGTTCTAGGAACAAATTACAAAGATGTTTTAGGAAAAAATTACAAGATCTCACTCAGCTTACAAAATTCTGTAGCTCTCATCTGGTATATAATAGAAAAACCCTACCTCCAAAATGCACAATTAGAACTACTTAATCATCAAGACAACTTCCATGAATAGCCCTTTGATAAAGGACTTTTTTCAGAGACTGGTTCATTTTTCTAACTGGAGAACTTGTGTGATACAATATGCTTGCACCTGCCTCTCCTGCTGTCAATACAACCTGCCTGGAATTGTCCCTAGGGAACTTTCCCAGGCTTTCCTATTAGGGACCTTGTTTTTAAATGAATAAATGGCAATGTCCTTGTCATCAAGACTGAACAGGACAGCATTAGCGATTATCCTCAGGATTCCTGCAGACTGACCTCCACCCAAGGCATAGGTTTCCTAAAATTCACTTCCAAAAGTCAATCCAGGTAGTAGTGAGATGCTCTTGGCTTTTGAGGTGCAGAACACCAAGTCAATCCTCTCTGTGTTTTGCAGCTGACAGCCGGAAGGTATCTTTCTGGAACCTGTCTCACCTCAAGTAATAAACCTTGTGCTGCTGTCCACTGACCACGCCAGAAATACATTTCCTGCAGTAAATCTCAGAACCTCCCTTTCTTAATGTCCAGATTTGTTGGCAAATTTTACATATTATGTATTAGGTGTTACAAATTACAAATACTCTAAAGGTTTTGCTGATCAATAAATAAAACTTCCAGCAAGGGAACATATTTACATCCTTAAATTATGAAACTCCTACTCAGTTCTGCTTGTTTCCTTTATCAAAATTGCAATTTTTATTATTGCTTTTAAATAACAACCTCATAATAATGTTCTTTCTGTTTTACTTTAAAACCTTACTTTTTATTTTTGTCCCAATTAATATAGTTCTAAACTTCAGAATTAATGTAACAGAATTTCCACTCATTGAGGGCCTCCATAAAGCAAAGTAAATATAGGTGAGTTTGAACGATGGACTCCCCTGGAATAAGTAAGTAGAAATCTAACATATTATATCTCTGCATGAAAAAGATGTTAAAGAGTATTGAAAAACAATCCAGCACCTGTGTCAGCACTTACTTCTTGATCCTCTCACCAAAGGAAGCAATTTCATCTAGGATATTCTGGACAGTGACACACACCTCCTGGATGGCATAAAGTCTATTCATAAATCCTTTCTTTTCACTGTCCTAAATAAAAGAATAGGAGTAGTTGAGTAAAAGAATTTCTGACTGTAGGAAAAGGATTGTGTAGCCATCAATTAAGTTTCAGAAGGTCCTGCATTACAGATTCATGTAAAAGAATTGGTAAAACCTGGCAATAAGAAAACTATTTCTTGTCCTGAAAACAGTGCTTATTGCAATACATATGGTTTCATATATATGCTGATCTCCACACAATTTTGTCTGCCACTGCATTAGTTTCTAAACACATATTTGAATAAGCCAGCTCTCTAGGTTTTAAACATGCTGAAGGTGCCAATCTTGTATGTTGTGTACTCTTTCAAGTAACGAGTGTTATGAGTAGAAAAGTTATCCATTTTTCTTAAGTTGCAGAGTTAACAAGTTAAACCAATTGCTGTTGTTAATAACTTCATGTTGTAATCACCTGTTGTTAATAGTTTTTCTTCAATTACCTGTTAATGTTTAGAAATCGGCTCAATTGTCCCCCTGCTGCTTCCTGGAGGACACCTGAAGCCGCAGGGGGTGGGAGATGGCTGGTATGCAAATGAGGAAGCCCCTCACCAAATTGTGCAAGAGAAACCCCTAAAGCAACGTGCCAACATGGAATTAAGAGATCTAAGTGATGTCTAAAGGTGAGGAACTTAATCCCGTGTCTGGTAAGATCCTTTTTACCTTTCACCCTCACCTAAAGGATGTCGGCTAGAAAGAGGACCTCGAATGTCAGACTGAAAAGGTGGAATCTCCTACTGCTTCTCGTGAGGATGGAAGCCCCAGCTCTGCCTGCATACCAGCTGCATCCTCCTCCTCCTCCTCCGTGCCATTCCTGGGAGCAGCGGCGGTGTGAGCGTGACCCCCCACCCTAGCTGATTTTTTTAATAAAGGCATTAAAAAAGGAGAAAGATCTCCTGCCCTATTTTTTTGAACAAGAGTCATAAAGTGGAATAAATGCAGTTTGTAGAAATGCTGGTTCTTGAGATGATGTAAGCAGAGGAAAATAAACATTTCTGGTGGAAGGCACTGAGCAAGAAACCAGAAAAACTCAGCTCCTTTAGAGAGCTGTTCTTTTTCCCCAAAATATCTGTCTCTAAATCTAAACATGTCTGCAGCATCAAATCCACTAACCATACTGTGTTAGATGGGATTAACATGTATTATCACCATGGAAAAAAAAAAATTAGTTTGTATTCATTTTATTCCAGACCACAGATAAGACAAAAAGTTATGTTCAACATTTCCAATGTTGAAGTTCAACTTTTTGCAATCACAAACCACATGATACAACAGACTCTGTCATTGACTCCAAAGTTCAGCATCTAAGAAATACATGTTGAAATTAATTTTTCTTTTCTTCCCCTGATGCGTAACTATCAGACAGAATATTTGTTCACTCATTTTATTGATATTTTTGCTATCTTAATAAATTGGATTGGAAGAAAACATAATTTATAATTTAATCATTTCAACATTACTGGTTCACTGACAATGGTGTTGTCAAGATTACCTGTGAAGATGTTTGAAACACAGGTTATCTAAAAAACAACCACGAGACAAGCAGACAGACATGAGAAAACTACTTTCAGTGATTAAGTGTAATTTATAAACCAAGCACTTCAGACAAAGCAAAACCACCAGTTTCTTAGGCAATGTGAAAGAGATTATATTTCACATAAGATTAATAATAATTATATCACAAAGAATTTTGTTTTCTGAAAATGACCATAATGGATCAGAACCAGTGATATCAACTACATCCAGTGCTGCACAGCAACACAGAGTCATTTATGTAAGTAATTTCCTTAATATTTACTGCATTCTTGAAGCCTTTGCAATGACGCCATTAATCTCCTCAGGTATACAGTTTCTGAAAATGTGCATCATATATCCAGCGTGCTTCATTTGTCATCAGGAAATAGGCGTCTGCTCTATTCCTTCATGTAAAACACATACTTCCAGTCTAATGTTCTCTTGTACAGCAGAAATGAACAATAAGCCATCAGGTATTTTTATGCTTTCCAAATATGTATACCCCTTGCCTCTTCAGTTTTAAGAGATCCTGCCCTCCACGTAAATTCATTTTGGTTTATAACTAACTTGTGTGAAAAAATAATTATGTCACTCTAATAAAACCTGTGGCATATCCAGAACTCAAGTGGTGTTACATTCAAAGGTCCTAAGGCTGTTTTAATTTATAAGTATCTAACACGATAAATTTGTACCTTTATTCATGTCATTATTTAGGAATGGCACTCTCCAATTTAGTGCTCCCACTGAGGCTTTCCAAATCCTGCTGCTGCATGCTCACTCCCAGTGGTGGGCTGGAGAGGAGGCTCAAAAGATCGTGGTTGAGATAAAAACAATTTACTGGGAACAGTGATGAGATAAGAAAATAACAATAGCAATAATATCAAAACCAAACATGTACAAAAGAGAGGGAGTGATTTACATGCGAAATGCTCACTACAGAGCCTGACCCGCCCGCAGCCACACCACCCTGACCGCTCCCTCCAGCTCGGAGCCAGTGCCACACTTACTCAGCCAAAAGGAATCCCTCTTCCCGGAAGAGAATCCCTTTCCCCTGCCCCCAACAACTATGTGAGATGGTAGAAAATAACCTCTGGGTTCCAGCCATCTCCCCTCCTGGCTACTGCAAAAATTCATCCAGACCTAGCCAGAACCAGACAATCCAAAAATATGTCAGTTTTAAATCACTTCCCACAAATTCCATGAAGACAGAATGAGACAGAAAAAGGATCACTATTTTCAACCCACTGCACCTTCTGAGCTTAAAGGAAATTTGTTGACATACTCTGAGGCAGGATTAGACAAAACAGCACAGGAAAGACGAGGCAGTCAGAAGGATCATGGTTCATCTTTGCTTAAATTATTCCAACTATTCCCACATGTCCCACAACCATTAACTTCCTTTTTTATTTCCTGCTCCAAATAATTGTGTAACAAATTAGCTGGACTAGGGAAAAACTGCAGTTATTTTCTTCCAGCAAGATGCCATGTTATCAAATACAACACATGAGCTACCTAGAGTAAACCAAGGTTCTTAATAATTAATTTTCCAAACACTATTGGCATTTCCTTTCCAGAGAAAGATGGTGTGAGAGATGGGAGTAGATTGGTGGCTTGAAACATTTCAGTTGCATGAATGGGATAAGGGGTAAGACAAGCCTTGCCCTGGTGAGTTTGCTCCATCCACCCCACCCCTAGAGCCTGTACCCCAGCCTTGCAATAGCACAGTGGATGCAATGTTCTGAACCTGCCCCTGGAGCCCCTAACCCAGCCCCAGAGTGGCTACCAGACGTCCCACCTTGGGGAAGGGCCCAGGAAAGCCAATGGGTACTCATGCTAGACCATGAGGTCTGACCACTGGTGGTAGTCATATTTTTTCTTTTCTATATCTCTTGTGTCTTTCTCTTAGTTCTTTTTCTTCCAATTACTTCTTCTTGAAGCCTAAGTAACTTAAAGTCAGATGGGTTGGAGTTTGTCAAGTTGAATGGACTTGGAGCTTGCTAAATTAATGCTTTGTGAAATACGTTATGGTGATTCAATGTTGCTTTAAACTTTTGCCAAAGTTCCCTGATTTTCTGAAGTTGCCAGTAAAGTTTTTGTTGCTTTGACTCTTGAGGAATATCTTGTTGGTATTTCTCTTTTGCACCTAACTCTGGGTAAAAGAAAAAACCAACCTGTAAGCCTCTTTAAGGGACTCAGCAAGAGAATTCAATTCTGGGGCCTTGAAGATGGGCCGTGACTGGAATGAATTTCATCATTTGCACGACTACAACTGCCAATTTTCTGGACATAATTGTCATTTAAATAGTAGATAAAATTTATAATACAAAGCTAACAAAGCTTAATACAAAGCTTTATTACTATTTCATTTGTGTGATTTACTTGTTTGCAGAAGGCTTAAGGTATCTGAAAAGCAAGAGATTTGCTAGGGCATAGTTGTGAGCACAAATTGTGAAAGCAGAGCCAAATTGATGCTGCTGATGATCTGACCTGAATTTTAAAAAGGGTATGAACCAAAAGTAAAGAAGATGTCCTCCTCCACTTTCACAGGAAATTGTAAATTAAAGATTGATATGCTGTTTGGTGAATAGTAATACTTAACATTTACACCCTGATTTTCAGCCAGAACTATATTTTCCTTTTGGTGAAACCAAAGCAAAACAAAGTAAATTACTAGCTAATTTACACAAATCCCTAAATAAAATCCATGTTATGTGAGTCTTTTTATTCAACAGACTGTTCTTCCAACCCTGTGACAAAATAGGGTGATTTAGGAAAGGATTATATCTGTAACCCCAAACCTCTCTCCTCTCCAAGTGAAAGTGCATTTAAAAACCAAACATTTCAAATTGTCAGGAAAGCAGGAGAAACAAATAAGCAGACTCAAAAGTATACTCTGGTAAAGGTAATATGTTTAAGCCAGAAAAGGGGAAAAAAAAAAAAAGTTTTAAATACAGAGAAGAAAACTCTGAACATTTTATGGTGGATAACTGCCCTACTAGTAACTTCTAATTTGGAGAGAAAGGCACAGATCATAAGAGGAGAGTTTTGAGAATAGAAGCAAATGCTGAAGGCCAGGGTATTACCCCACCAGGCAAGGTCTGACCCCTTCCCCTATACACAGTCATCCAAAACCACCTTGAACATCAACCTTTCTAGGCTCTGTCACCTGTGGCTGCAAAAGCAAATGTATAGCCCTGCTGCTATCAGTGAAGAGCCCCTCTAATCATCCTTGACTTTTAGTAACAGGCCAAAAAAATCTATATTGCTTAAACAGAAACTTCTGTGAGAAAACTCTTCAGATTATTTCAACTAATAATTGGTGTTGAAGGTAAAGTCCGTAAATAGGCACCCACATCATCCCTCAGCAGGAAACTCAACTATACACAGGGCTCTAACACTGTGGCAGTCTTCCTTTGTGGACTGATGAAACAGACCCAGAAGTAGTTGGTAGCACATGCATTAGTCCTTTACTGGCAGGAGTC